GGGCAATTGGGCTTTCCATTATTTTTTTCTATGATTTTGCCCCGCCTAAAATTTTGGACCATTACTGACCTACTAAGTCCAACTAACCTAACCCAGTAACCCTACACCCTACTACACAAATATTATACATATATGAAAATTGATTGTTAAATTTAGATTCTGCATTTGGGAATTAGGATATTGTTTGCTAAATTGGCTTAGTTTTGTATTTTTGCTTTCATTGGCTTTTTTTCATAATTTTTTTTTCCAATTTGACAGTTGGATCTCTAAAAAATTATTTATTTTCATGGTTTTTAACGCTCGAACTGAGATAAGAAGTGGGTCGAATTGAACCAACTTACATGGTTATGGTACGGTTATGGTATAGCCAAAAAATTAGTGGTTCAGTGATGATTTTGGCCGAACTAACCCGACCCGAACCAAACCAAACCGTTGCCAACCCTACTTGCCGAGGTCACATGAGACACTAATGACCACATTATTAATTGAAAAATCTACTTTGACAATGAATGAGATTTCAAATTCTTTGTTAGAGACAACCAACATTACCTAGTCAAGTGGTACTTTGAATGGTAATCAAGTGCTCTTAACAAAGTCTGAAATGAATAGTAGTGGTGAATCTTGGGAATGAATAATGGTAAGAGGAATCGTTCTTAATCTCATTCTAGGAAAGATTTGGAGTGTGCCATAAGAAGGGACACATTAGAAAAAATTGCAAGAATTGACGAAGCATCTTGAAGCAAAGCAAATCGTATGTCTCAAGAGACATCAGATGATACAAACGTAGTTGATTGACCATATTGTTAATGATTGCTATAGTATCACATATGATTTTTCAAGTAACTCTAGGATTTTGGATATGTTCATCATTTGTTCCCACATAAGGAGTGTGATGCACACTGGTTACGATGGTTGATAATCAGAAACGTTATGAGTATTCTGCGTGTAATAGTATGATGAATGCAAAGAAAAATCCTGTATCAATAATGAGAGGCAAAAATGTTGATGATTTGTATAAGCTAATGAGGAAGACAAATTCAAGAGGAGTTGTCTTGTTGGAGTCGCACCGAGGAAAATATTCTACTATTGCTAAAGGTAGTGAAGGGCCCAAGAAAGGTTAATTATGTGGCTAACATCAATAAGCATGAAGATCAAAGTTCAAAGACGTCAAACAGTAAAGTTATGTTTAATGAGTCATTGAATTCGATTCATGTCTACTACAATTGATTGAGGGATGGCGGCACCTACTAGTGAAAGAGTGTGAAGATGGCCGAGAAAACTGCCGTGAATTGAAGATTTTGAGTCAAGGTAGAGATAATTGAGAATGACTCAAAATTATACTGTTTAAAGTTCAGGGTCCAAGATTGTAATTTCTCTAAAGCAGTAATTATACCAATCCAACAAGTGAATGCATATGCACATGCGGAAAAACGAGAAAATATCGTGGCAGACAATAAAGGGAACTAAAATATATTTTGGCTAGGTTTAATTGAGGCCCAAAGTTATGTATTGACGCACAAGGAAAAGACCAAAATTGCGGACAGGGAGCAGCCGTTGAATTAGGACAGATAAAATTGGCTTTAGTGAGAGAAAAGAAAACTAGAAATTAGAGAAAACGGTAGTACTGTGCAGTGAGAAAGTCGTGAGATTGGAGAAAATATTGTACAGTTGTGGTTTTTGCAGTTAGTAAAGTATCTTCTCCTGTAGTCCTTAGCGATTTGTAAACCACGTTAAATTTGTGTTTTCTTTTTCTATTCCGTTTTTGTGTTTTTCGTTTTCACACTATAAGAAATGGTTTCCATTACGTTTGGTAGAATTTTTTTCCAAGACATGGAAGATGAAGAATTAATAAATACAATTACTTTTGTATCACAAACGGTCCTCTAAATTGATGCCTCGGATGTTTCAATAGAATGAATAATAATTTTGGATTAATTCCCTTGTGAATAATCGTCTAAGATTCTTTGCCTGAGGTTTTGAAATTGATATGTCGAATGTTTTGATGAAACGGGCCATGGTTTTGGTATGAAAAAGGCTTCAAGGAGAACATTGTGGATTCAATTGTGAGACAAGATTTTCTATCTTCAAACAATCAATTGGTCAATATTAGGCTGTTGTCTGGTAGGTAGATTAGTGGAAATAATTCATCTTTTGCCAGAGAATTTAGCAATTTTTATGACATTTGTTCATTAGAGTAAGACTATTTTTCTACTTGTGGCTATATTCACACCACAACCTTTTTTTCTTGCACCATATTTTAATTGCACTTCAGATATTTAATCTTTGCTCATTATATTACTTTTGTTCCTAACGATTTTTCATGTAATTCTTATCCTCAAACTTTCCATTAGTTTATACATTTTGTATTTAATAACCTTTTTATGCCCAAAAGTCGGCTATAACAACTTATTGTTTTCATCATATTTTCAAAAATTAAAAACTAAGAAAAAATATTTTTTTCCCTCTTTTCAAAGTATGAAAACAAAATATTTCGATATAAATCATCATTAAGGACGAGACGGAAGGTTTGAAGATAAGAATTTGATGAAAAAAATGTTGAGGAAATAATTGCTACCACCATCAGTTATCTAGGAACTTAACTGCAATTAAAATATAATATATCAAATAAAATTTGTGGTGACAATATAACCATTATTTTCTATATATGCTTTTCCAATTTCAAGTGAGTATCAAAATTGGATTGCAGATATATTTGTTTTTGCCTATATTATGGTTTATTCAATGTCTTTTTTTAACTATTAAAAGAAATGTTTATGGTTTATTAGGAACACTAAATTTACAAATATTGAAACATTCTTCATTCTTTCAATAAGGAAAACTAACATTTAAAAAAAAAAAAAACTTTCTATTTTAAAATAAAAATAATTAAGGTGCATTACAAATTAATTTTAACTAGTATTTTATAAGTTAAGACTAAACTCTTGCATAATCATGTACAATTTAGTTTAACCTATCATAAATATCGAATATGATGTATGTATTTATATTGAATAATTCTTGGGGTACATTGGGAGGGACATAAGGGTGTCCAAAATGGACACTCGCCCCCCCCCCCCCAATTGGAGCACAAGAATAACTCATTTATATTTGTGTGCGCACATGGTTAGCTTTAAAATCACTTGTAAGTAGATAATTTATCTTGTTAGTTAAAGTTGAAAATTAATAAATTATTTTTTTTGAAGGTAATTTTTAATTACTCCCTGACAAAATAAGTAATTCTTTTATCTATAGGTAATAAAAAGGTAAATATACGAAAGAGTAGTACGTTTTAACATAATTTATGCTCAGGAAAACATGCTTTAAGAATTATCTTTTTCTAGAATTGTCAGACTCATTTGGTTCCTTCACTCTCAGTATTTTGGGGAAAAATGGTATATTTGATGATCATTCTCATATATATATATATATATATATATATATATATCCATTCTCTCTCCTGCATAGGTCATGAAAGATACTTTACATATATTAATTTCCAAGTAAATTAATCAAAGTAGAGTAGAACTTGTCTAAATGCATGAATGTATAGTAGTTGATTATGAAACCAGTTGGGAATATGGTGAAATGACATATATAAAAAGATTGAAAATCAAAGGAAACTGATTGCTACATATAGGTCTATTGTTTAGCAAAAAAATAAAATAAACAAAAGAAAAAATGATGACTCCATCTTTGTATTTGATATACAATATGTAGTGAATAATACAATAGATAACTTTTTTTTTTTTTTTTTTTTGAATACAATTTAATTCACTTTATTGCACTACCATTAAACATCATACTTAAAGTCCCTGTTGGATAACTTTTGTTATACACGGGCAAACTTTATAAATCGTTGATATTATACTTAAACCCAATCATTTTGTTTGATTTGAATCAAGATTAGATTATCTTATTTTTCAAGTATAAAATTTTTTGAATAAAAAGGAGTTATTTATTTATATTTTATCTTTAATTTTCTTAACTAGGTCAAACAATTATACCCATTTCGTAACTCAAACCAATTATATTAAATTAACATTAACTTTATTAATCAATTAAAAATTGAATGGTGGATAATTAATTAGAAAATTCATTACCAAATAAATATTTCTCAACTTATTTTGTTGATTATAAATGAGATGAATGCTAATTGCATAAATAATTTCAAATATGCATCACTGAGGGAGATATAAGATTTTTCAGAAGTTTATATGATTGTCTGAGGTAAATGTTTGCTCAATCGTACTTGAGGGTTACTTGTGGTTAGATCATCGAGTTTGAAATACATGAATGCTCGGCACCAAAATGAAGCCAATATAACTAAGGTGAACAATTTTATAAATAACTAGAAATAGTTGCGAATAAGTGAATAATATTTGTAGATCCCACGAACGATCCTGTAAAATATAAGTTGACAGAATATAACATTTATAAATAATAGACAAATATGGGTTTAGTCAATATATGGTATACTCATGTTAACTTGTATTTATCCCTTCTGATCATATACGTGTATACCAATCACGTATACCTTAAAACTAGCTTAGGGGTGTCTTATGGAATCCTTCAAGAAGCAAGTCGGAAACTCGACATATGATTATGATAGTATGACCATGTGAATGAAGTGTAATTATTTATTTTTTCATTATAAAAATGTTTGGCCTAACTTTGCTGATTATTCATCCCAAAGGATCATCACAAAAGGTAAAACCAAAACTAGCAAAACTTTTTCCTTCTCTCGCTTTGTTTTATCCAAGTCGCCAATGAATTTAGCCAACAAAAAGAGGGGGGAAAATCAATATAAAATACGCACAGACACACACTGGGACACTGGTACTATGAATCTAGCCAAACTTTGAAATTATGGTTGAGCTTTGTAAGATGACGTGTCAAAAGACTCGCAACGCCAAGTCAAACCCCCCTTATGGTTGAGCTTTGTAAGATGACGTGTCGGAAGACTCGTAACGAAACTCAACCCCCCCCCCCCCCCCTCATTTATGAAATCAATTCACTAGGCATTCACATGCCCTGAGGTTGTTTCAGTTCAGTTGATGGATGAAGATGAAGATGTACCGGACAGAGCACAGGGTAGCATTTTTGAGGTGAAAAGTAGTGAAAATAAAAAACCATTGGAGAATTTGATGTTCAGGTATTATAGTTTAAGACAGATTGTCATAATGGTTTTGTTGACAGTATCACTCTTGGTGTTGCCACTGGTTCTGCCGCCACTTCCTCCGCCACCGCCAATTCTTCTTCTTGTCCCAGTTTTGATCATGGTTTTGCTGATTTTATTGGCCTTTTCACCTTCAAAATTGCCCAATATTCATGTCCCTCCTGTGTGAATATACATAGTCACACACTGACACACATGTATACGTGTAAAATCTGAGAAAATCCCAGCGGAAAATTCACGTAGGAGTCTAGATCGAGTCACGGTCTCTTATCTAATCCCACGCTTCGTTCTTCTTCTATCACCGTTATCAGTGATACATTTCAACTAATATACTGTGGAAGAATGAAATCTATTTTCTTGATTCTTATGTTTTTAGGTCGATTTGTCTGCAAATCATGCTTCTAACTACACCGCTTTGATCAATTTATTTTGATGCATTGTGTATGATATTATATTGTAATTTTCTTCATCATTTTTTGTTATAGTTTATTGCAGTATGATTTAATTGATTGAGATTGTGAGTTTAGACTAATATGACGTCATATTACTACCCTTTTTTTTCGCAAAATATTGGAAACACTATTTTAACTCAAAACGGTTTTTTATGTGAAGTAAATAAAATGATTTGAACGGTAAAGCAATTGAAATTTGATATTTGAATTTTCTTGGAAGTTATAGGGGTATTATCTTATAATTTTCACATTGAAATTATTAATTTGTTGCGTAAATTAAGGGGTTGTTTTACAAAGATTTGATAAAAGTATCAACAAATTTTGATTAAAGTTCATGAAATATGTAATTGAAAAGTTGTGGGATTCATAAAATGTATAGTTATAATTAAAGTTTTGACAAGTTCAACATTTTGATAATATTTTAGTAAAGTATCAAATAATCACTAATATATCTTAACAAAATTGTAATGCTAAGATGAAGTTTACTAACAAGAAGTCAAGAATGCTTAAATTTCACCCAATGATCTAATAAGGAAAATTTGATGAAAATACTTTTTTAAATTAGTCCAAAGACAGGACTTCAATTCTTCAAAAACTTTCTGCTCCTATAAATTATTGACGCATGGTCCCTTTTTTAGAATTTTCGGTAAACAAAATTTAAAAAAAAAAAATGTATGTTCTGTTAGTAATAATGGGCTGCTTCACTATTACTTGATGGCCCAAAAAGAAATCCACTAAATGGACTTGGACCATTATTATTAACGGGTTGATAAAACGTGTCTTTGTGAAATGCGATTTTATGCCTCCTTATGGTCGGGGATCTGCCGTCAACGTGGCATCATCCCAACCCTTGGATTGTGGTAGTTGACTGATCAGATATTTATCTTGATTTTGGCTCTCATTCTGGACGCTTCGTTTTATTCTGTCCTTTCGTCTCTTCTATTCTTCTTTGAGTGAGAGACTAGGGTTTCTACTTTTCTCTGAATATTGAAAATGTTCTTCGTGGTCTTCTCAATCTGTATACTTTGTGATATGTTAGATTGTTGTGTACAATCTGTGAGTGATTGAGAGTTTTGTAGTTAGGTTTTTTAAAGGAGGCGAATGTGATATCGAAGAACTTGGTTCATTCGTACATCTGTACTAATTCTTGGTGTTTTTCTTAGTGAAATCTTGAGCTATATCTTCCTTGGGGATGCTCAACGGGTGACTAGGCGAAAGCTGAACATCCGGGGCTCTCTTTTGAGGGTAAAAACATATCGTTGTGTTCGATTTCTTTTCTGCAAAGTTTATTTTCGTTTTGAATATCTCACGATCCAACAAACTCTTAGGGTGTTTTGGCATAACAAGTGGTATCAGAGCCACTAATCTTTTTTGAAAAGAATTTTTTCGAACAATATTTTTCAAAATGGTTCTTGGGGATCTCAGATCTGGTTTTCTGGAAAATCGGTTTTTTGTAGTTCTTGAAAGCTGAATTTTTAAAATTTTCTTATGACTCATTTTTAACTCGTTATTAACTCATTATAACTCGGTTCTAACCTTGTTTGATCTATTGTTTCTGTACTGAGTTGTAGCGAGTTGAGTTGACTCGATCCGGGTTGTGGTGAGTTCTTGACTCACTACTGAGTTCACACTAAGTTCTGGTGACTCGTTGGCTTCTTGAACCTGTATTGTCCTCTTTGTTCCGGTTCTGTCACTTACTCTTTGTTCTCTTTATTCAAAAACATTGAGTTTTTCAGACTTTGGTATTTTCTGAAAAACCCCATTCTATTAAATTGTAATTGTAATCTGTTTAGTGCTGGTCATTAAGGTAATTAATCCTCCACTGCTTACCTTTGTCCAAGATCCCCTACGAGGATCTGGGAATCTGAGGAAGTAGTGGGCTGTAAGGATTTTCACTCCTTAGACCACTCTTAGACTCTTTTTAGCTCTCTGAATTGAACTGTGTATTGCATGATAAGTAGATACAATTATAATTTTTGCTTTATTCATTCTGTCATTTTTGTTAATTCAATAAAATATCTGAATCAATATACTCTGTGTGTTGTATAAATTTTGTTTGTGTACATAATCTGTCATCATGTCCACGTCTCAAAAATTTGAAGTTGAGAGATGGAATGGTACTGGAGACTTCAATCTCTGGCGCCAAAAACTGAGAGCACTATTGCTGTAGCAGAGATGTGCTGCAGCCATTGATGGAAATTGGCCTGCAGAAACTAGTGCCTATAGGAGACAGGAATTAGATGACATTGCATGGAGTACAATTTTCTTGCACCTGTCTGATAGTGTAATTAGGAAAGTTGGAGAAACTACATGTGCTCAGGCTCTCTGGACTAAGTTAGGTATATTATATCTAACTAGAACCATGCCTAATAAATGCTACCTTCTAAGGCAATTTTACAATTTCAGATTTGATCCAACCTCAAATCTGGAAGAAAATCTTGACAGATTCACAAAACTGATTCAGGACTTAACAAACTGTGAAGAAGAAATTTCTAATGATCAACAAGCTGTGGCATTGTTAAATTCACTAAGTGATAAATATAGAGACATTAGAAATGCATTAGAATATGGGGGGCAGGAACTTACTATTGATAGAATAACCTCAGCCCTGAGAAACAGAGAACTTGAAATAAAATCTGAGTCTAAAGACTCTAGGTATGGTGAGGGGTTATTCATAAAGGAGAGACAGAATCAAAATAAGAAACAACAACCCTTCAATCAAAACTCAAATAAGAAAGGGAAACCTCAATTCTCCAGATTTAAAGAAAAGAATAAGAATCAATGCAAGACTAAAAACCAGATCAGGAAATGTTATTACTGTGGTAAAACTGGCCATGTAATAAAAGATTGCTTCAAGAAAATCTCAAATATGAAAGATAAGTCTAATACTGAGGGATCTACAGCTGTTGCCTGCAGAGATGAATCTGATATTCAAGGGGTTGTTTTAGTAACAACCACCAGAAGAGACCCAAATGAATGGGTCCTTGACTCTGGTTGCACCTTTCACATGTGTCCCACAAAAGAATGTTTTTTTGAATTTTTTGACCTAAATGGAGGACAAATTCAGATGGGAAATGACACGAGTTGTCGAATCAAGGGAATTGGGAAGGTCAAACTCTCACTCAATAACAGTTGTACCCTAGAACTTGAGAATACTAGATATGTCCCTGAGTTAAAAAGAAATCTTATTTCCTTGGGTGAGCTTGATGAAAAATACAGTATTATGATTCACAAAGGGCTTCTAACTCTTATGCAAGGAAGTAAAACTGTAATATCCTCTCAAAAGGTAAATGGTATATATACTGTATGTGCTAAATCTGTGACAGATCACTGTTCTACAGCCTTAAACTCTGAATCTATTTAATTTGGCATAAAAGACTTGGCCACATCTCAGAAAAGGGACTGGTAATTCTAAATAAACTTGGATGTTTTGGTAAAAATAATGTTAAGGGTTTGGACTTTTGTGAAAACTGTGTATTTGGGAAACAAAAGAAACTGCCTTTCAAAATTGGTATTCATAAATCTACTTCTATACTAGAATATTTACATGCTGATCTTTGGGGACCAGCATCTATAAATACTCTGAGTGATTTTAGATTTTACCTTCTAATAGTAGATGATTTTTCAAGAAAAATTTGGACTTTTCTTCTGAAACAAAAATCTAATACCTTTCAAACCTTTAAACATTGGAAATTAATGATTGAAAACCAAACAAATAAGAAAATCAAGGCTTTAAAAAATGATAATGGTCTTAAGTTTTGCAACTCTGAATTTGACCTGTTTTGTAAAGATAATGGAATCTTAAGACACAGAACTGTAACATACACTCCTCAGCAAAATGGTGTTGCTGAGAGAATGAATAGATACTTATTGGAAAAGGTGAGATGCATGTTGTACAGTTCTGGTCTTCCTAAGTTCTTTTGGGAAGAGGCCCTAAAAACAGCAACTTATCTAATAAATAGAAGTCCATCAAGTGCCATTGATTTTCAAGTCCCTGAAAAGATATGGTCAGGAAAAATTCCTCATTATAGTAAACTAAAAGTTTTTGGCTGCACTACTTATTCACATCAAAGTGAAGGAAAACTAGAACCCAGATCCTTAAAGTGTGTTTTTCTGGGTTATGGAGAGGAAACAAAAGGGTACAAACTGTGGGTTAGAGAGAAAAATGGCTTTAAAGTCATAATTAGTAGAAATGTCATTTTCAATGAAAATGACATGCCTTGTGTGAAATCAACTGATCTTAAAACTTCAGAACCTGCACAAATGAAAGAAACCATCCTGGAAAACAAAACTGATGAATTTGAAAATCTAGATGGTCTAATTGAGGTGGAGACCTCTCAGTCTGAGGAAAACCTTGATCAAAATGACACTGAAATTGAGGTGGAGTCTTCAGATCCCACACTTGCAGATTATCAGTTAACTAGGGATAGAGAAAGGAGAAACATAAGACCTCCAATCAGATTTAATAATGAAGAATTTGTTACCTTTTTCTCTGGTCTGGACTTATTAAATTCTAAACCCTCTTCATTTGATGAAGCAAATAAATGTCCAGATTCTAAGTTCTGGAAAGAGGTCATGAATGAAGAAATGAACTCCCTCATCAAAAATAAAACTTGGGTTTTGGTTGAAAGGCCTAAGGACCAAAAGATAATTGACTGCAAGTGGATTTTTAAAATTAAACAAGGAGACTCTAACTCACAAGATAAAAGATACAAGGCCAGATTAGTGGCCAAGGGTTTTACTCAAAAGGAGGGGGGTAGATTACAATGAAATTTTTTTCCCAGTGGCAAAATATACCTCTATAAGAATAGTGTTGGCACTAACTGCTCATTTTGACTAGGAATTAGATCAACTGGATGTTAAAACTGCATTCCTTAATGGAGATCTAAATGAAACCATATACATAAACCAACCTCCGGGGTTTGAAGTAAAGTCAAAGATCAACAAGGTTTGTTTGCTGAAGAAGTCCCTCTATGGACTAAAACAGGCTCCCATGCAATGGTATATAAAATTTAACTCCTATGTGCAGACTTTGGGTTTTGTCAAAAGCAATTATGATTCCTGTTTTTTCTATAAAGGTTCAGGTGGACCTGAATCCATTTATCTGTTATTATATGTTGATGACATGTTGCTTGCCTGCCATGATAGATCTGAAATCAATTTCATTAAATCAAAATTAAAATCTGGATTTGAAATGAAAGACTTAGGACAAGCAAAAAGGATTCTTGGAATGGAAATAGAAAGAGATAGGAATAATTGCATGTTATTGTTGAAACGAGGCACTTATATGAAGAAAATACTTGAAAAGTTTGCAATGTTTGAGTGTAAACCTGTAACCTTACCCATTGCTAATCATTTTAAACTGTCAAGTGAAAATTCACCTAAAACAGATGATGAATTTATAAGAATGGAAAAGATTCCGTATTCTAATGTTGTAGGATCAATAATGTACCTTATGGTCTGTACTAGACCTGACTTAGCTCATGGCATTAGTACCTTGAGTAGGTTATGTCAAATCCAGGTGAAACACACTGGTTAGCCATGAAGGGGATGCTGAGATACTTAAAAGGAAATTCTGATTTAGGTTTAATGTTTAAAAGAAGCAATAAAGGGGTAATGTTAAAAGGCTACACAGATTCTGACTTTGCTGGTGATTTAGATAAAAGAAGGTCAACATCTTCATATGTTTTCACTTTGTGTGATGGTTGCATTAGTTGGAAATCACAATTGCAAAAGTTAGTTGCACTTTCTTCTATAGAAGCTGAATATATTGCTGCATGTGATGCAGTAAAAGAAAGTCTTTGGCTTAGGGGTTTACTAAATGAAATGGGTTTTGGAAATAATACTGTTAAGATTTATACTGATAACCAAAGTGCCATACACTTGAGCAAAAATCCTGTATACCATGATAGGAATAAACATATAGATATAAAATTCCATTTTGTGAGAAATATGGTAGAAAAGGGTTTGATTGAATTGGTTAAAGTTCTTACAGAATTCAACCCATCAGATTTAGGAACCAAAGTGTTACCCCTGAATAAATTTAAAAATTGCTTGAAGATTTTGAATATTACATGAAAGTGTAACATTGAAAACTTCAAGTGTTTATGTTGAAATTTTTTGAACTAATTCTTCTTTTGTTTTTTGCAGGTACTGAGAGCAAATGAACCAAAATGTGAGATGAAACTCGAGATTCACTAATTAAAGTCAAGAAATAGTTTAGCAAGGTGGAGGTTGTTAGTAATAATGGGCTGCTTCACTATTACTTGATGGCCCAAAAAGAAATCCACTGAATGGATTTCGACCATTATTATTAACGGGTTGATAAAACGTGTCTTTGTGAAATGCGATTTTATGCCTCCTTATGGGCGGGGATCTGCCGTCAACGTGGCTTCATCCCAACCCTTGGATTGTGGTAGTTGACTGATCAGATATTTATCTTGATTTTGGCTCTCATTCTGGACGCTTCGTTTTATTCTGTCATTTTGCCTCTTCTATTCTTCTCTGAGTTAGAGACTAGGGTTTCTACTTTTCTCTGAATATTGAAAATGTTCTTCGTGGTCTTCTCAATCTGTATACTTTGTGATATTTTAGATTGTTGTGTACAATCTGTGAGTGATTAAGAGTTTTGTAGTTAGGTTTTTTAAAGGAGACGAAAGGGATATCAAAGAACTTGGTTCCTTCGTACATCTGTACTAATTTTTGGTGTTTTTCTTAGTGAAATCTTGAGCTATATCTCCCTTGGGAATGCTCAACGGGTGACTAGGCGAAAGCTGAACATCCGGGCTCTCTTTTGAGGGGAAAAACATATCGTTGTGTTCGATTTCTTTTCTGCAAAGTTTTTTTCTGTTTTGAATATCTCACGATCCAATAAACTCTTAAGGTGTTTTGGCATAACAGGTTCATATAAAAGAAAACAGATTTGTATTAGTATTTTCTTTTCTTTTTCGGGAACTTGAGGGTTTGCAGTGTTTTTTTTTCCAAGAAAAGAAATTAGGATTTATCTGTGGGTTGCAGATTCATCTGTATTTGGATCACTGCCCACCGCCTTTATACGGTGGAGGGTCAGCACCAGCCACCGCAAGTTTTTACTCCCTCTACTATTATATAAATGTCCTATATAGATAGTATTTTGACAACAATTAGATTCCAGTTGGTATGTCTGCTCTGGAGTTGGCACATATTATGGTTGCCACATGCATGTACGACGTACGGGTACATAATCTAATGTGTATTTAGGTTTCTACTCAAGTGAGAGGACGTGAAAAAAATTAAAGAGTTCAGTACTAAAAAAGAGCTCTTCACTTACGGATTCGTTAGTAATTAGAAATGGATCATTTGTTGGTAAAAAATTTTCACTTTCAACTACGATAATCAGTAACGAATTTTTTGTTGGTAAGGATGATATCTTTTTACCAACGGATATTTCTTGCATCATGTAACTGTTTAACATTTGAATTTTTATCTGTAGGTGACGTACCAAATATACCAACAGATTGCATCCGTTGGTAATTAGAAAAGGATTATCAGTTGGTAAAAGTAATTCACTTTCAACTACGATAATAAGCAACGGATTTTCCATTGATAATGATGGTATATCTTTACTAACGATTATTCCATGCCTCATATAATTATTTAACATTTGGATATTTCACATACGGATATTCTATTGATAATTAGAAGTATCAACGAAGTACACCACAACAAACAACCCAATAAAAGGATGGAGAATCTGGTTCATCATCCTCATGAATGTACTTAGAGCATTTGAAAGTTCGAATGACATCACCAACCATTCGTAAAGTCCATCCTTACTCTTGAAAGCAGTCTTCCATTCATCCCAGAGCTTAATGCGGATCTGGTGATAACCACTGCAAAGATCTATTGTTGAGAAGACCTTAGAACCCCTAAGCATATCTAACATATCCTCCAACTGTGAAATAGAAAACATGTACTTCACTGTTATCTTGTTGATGGCACGGCTGTCAACACACATACGCCACTTTCTATCATTTTTTGGCACTAAAAGAACATGCACTACACACGATCTCATACTTTCTCTTATGAACCCTCTTCTCAACATCTCCTCAATTTGCTCCCTTAGAATCTCATTCTCTTTCGGACTCATTCGATAATGAGGCAAATTTGGAAGGCTAACTCCAGGTACCAAATCAATCTGGTGTTGAATATTCCTCATAGAATGTAACTCATTCGACAAATCATCGAAAGTCAAGTCTTCAAATTCCATCAATATTTCTTGTATCTCAGGAGGAACACCCTCATCTTCTTTATTTACTACAAAAAGCCCCTTAACTACAACTAGATAAAAGTAATTAGATTCTTTTACAGACTCCGTGATCTCCTTCTCATTATTGGTAAGGGTAAGGAAACTCTCAGTTCGTTGATGAATAGACTTCTCCGCCTGTGGGAGAGGAACCTTAGCGATCTTATGACTACCCCATGAAAAGAGTACTATATATATCATGCACTTTGAGAGTTGAATCCACGTCAAATTGCCATGGATGACCTAATAGGATATTGCAAGCATCCATGTCTATGACATCACACATAATTTCATCCTTATAATGCTTACCAATGGAAATGGGTACTTTGCAAATTTCAGCAACTTGAACAGAAGGACTTCTCTTTGCCCAACCAAGTGAATATGGTTTAGGATGGCTCTCAACTGGTAGTTTCAACAAATTCACCAACTTCTTCGACACAAAGTTTTCACAACTTCCATTGTCCAAAATCAATTCACACACTTTATTCTTGATAGAACAAAGTGAACGGAAGATGCAATGATGTTGTCCCTCCTCCTTAAGTGATAAAAGAATTCGTTGTACTACTAAAGTGAGTCTTTCTACTCCTTCCTCCACAGCAAACTCTACTCCCGAGTACTCATCTTCCACTTCAGTATCTTTTCCCTCATTCACAGCCTTCGATTCCACCAAATTGACCTGCTTCCTCTCAGGACAGTTATAGGAACGATACCTAGGCTTTTGGCATTTATAGCAAATTTCTCCCGTGGGCTTAGCATACGGATTTGCATTATGAGGTGTGTCTCGAGTCTGACTTCTGTTCCCAAACCGACCACTGTTGTCAACCTTACTCCTGTTATGATTGATTGGGGCTTGTTGTGGGGCCTTTTCTATGTCTAAAGGGATGTGTGATGATGATTCGACAGGTAACGGTCACCTATATAAAACCATCATCTTATCAGATTCTATCGTCTCCGCTTTAATTACCATGTTAATGGCTTCCAGCAATGTCCAAATATTCTTCATCCCAATTGTATCTTGAATGGCCACCTTCAAACCACTGGTATACCTAGCTACCTTTTGATTTTCAGATTCTAACAGATTATTCCGTTCTGTCAATCACTTAAATTCATTGGTGTAGTCTGACACTGTACGATTCCCCAATGTGCATCCAGGTACATACGATATAAAATCTATTCATAATCTGCAGGTAAAAATCGATGCATCAAGGACTGCTTCATCTTTCTTCAAATTCGATTTTGACTCTTTCCCTATCTCCTTTGAGTATTCTGTAATTGATCTCACCATAATGTTGCTGTAGATTTCAAATGTAATGCCAACATCTTAACCATCTTGTCCTTTGAAACATCCATAATTTCAAAGAATCTCCCAACTTCTACCAACCAATCCAAAAAGTCTCCGATCTTCATGTTTCCAAAGACTGGAGGAATGTCTGCTTTAATCCGATAATCATCAAAGTTATTTCAATTTTGACGATTAGGATGATGCGACAGTGTTTTGAACTCCTCCTCCAACTCTAATTCACTGTCTTCTACTACACGCCTCCTATTATTTTATCTCCGAACGACAAGTTCAACCATTCGTTCTTTGTTGATTGTCCCCTGTTCATTCATCTCATTGTTTCCAGCACCCTGTAGAAGCAATTGACGAATTCCTTCAATCTGAATAATGAGATTGTCAATTCGTTTGTTAAGCCATCGAGTTGTTGCATCTAAATCTACCCTAGTAAATGGTACGTCACCCATATTTATGAATCAATGATATAGAGACAGAAAAGCTGGCTTTGATACCACTTGACGCAGCGAAAGAAATGAATTCAAGCGAAAACTTTGAAATCACGAAATTTGGAATTCACCAAATTAAAGAGAAAATAAATTTCATGAATTTTACTAAATGAATGATAATAATTAAAAAAAAGAACTAACCCCTTATAAATAAGAGTTTACATGGAAACATAGTTTAAAACAACTAAAAAGTAATGAAAATAAAGTTTAAACAAACTAGAATTGCAAAAAACTCAAAATAAATGAATTGACAAAAATAGCGCTAAAATTTGAAAAATTAGTTTTTGAGTCCTAAACGAACTTGAATGGTTGATATTCATCGTACATCACGGCATAGTGGTGAGTATCATTCCTCTCGTCGTTCTCTTTCCAAAATGGTTTTATGGGCCCGATCCGAAATTAAGATATTCTATTTCTACTAGTATTATTTTTCCAATATACACATTATGTCTTATATCATGAACTCCCCATTTTTATGGCATGATTCTTATTCAACTTTCCTTTAACATTAATTAATACGATTTTACCAGTAATTAAAGCGTGATTAATTATATGCCTTACTTTTTTATATGGATACTAGTTTTCCACCCGTGCAATGTACTGGCTATTTCATTTTTTAGGTAATATTAAAGTGTTAAAATATCTATTTATTTCTCTCAATAAATCTACAAATTTGATTAATTGTTTAAAATGATAAATGGAAATGTAATATTCATATATGACACAATTTTGGCATTAAATTTTTTTTTTAAAGTTTATTAGGAAATTTTCTAAATGATGTCAAAATTTTTAATAGATTATTTTAAAAATTAATTGATCGAGAGGAAAAAGTAACAATAAGAAAAAAATTCCTAAAAATGATCGAATTTCTTTTATATATAAAAAATTTTTAGATGTTAAAATAATCGAGATAAAAAATTGGTTGACCTCAATTTTGTTTTGCTATAATTGAAATGTATTTTTTGGAGATATGATAATTGTTCCCTTGATAAATGGATTAAAAATCCAAATTATTGTAGCTCATAATTTGTATATCAAATATTATTTTAGTTTGAGTGGTTATTTTACATATAAAGGACGTATTTGGTGATAACTATATTCAATATAATTAAATCGTGTAATTAATCGAATCTTTTTTTAGTGTTCAATATCCAATCGATTTAATGAAAAGTTTTTATTTAAGTGTAATATTATTTTATGCAAGATTCTACGATTGAAAATAAAAGAGAGAAAAATGAAAAAAAAAATTAATGGAGTCAAACAAAGCTGAGTTACATTATAATATTTTGTCACTAAAATGGTGTTGAGATTTCTATTTAATCACCCAATTTTGATATATTTGAATTTAAACCTTCAAAATTTATATACATAGAAAATATTCAATTAAATTTTTTTTTAGTTTTTTTCTCTTTATGATAAAACTTAATTTTTTCAATTTTAATTAAATAATATTTATATATTCTTTATTTAATTTTCGTAACTTTCTTTTGTTTAATTTGTTTTGTTTTGTTTTTATTATATATTTTCTTTAAATTTTTTTAAAATTTCTTTTTCTTCATATTTTAGATAATTTTTTGTTCAATATAAAATTCTTTTTAAAAAGAAA